AGGGGTTTAGAGTTTATAGGGTTTATAGGGTTTATAGGGTTTAGGGTTTAGGGTTCAGGGGTTTAGAGTTTATAGGGTTTATAGGGTTTATATGGTTCAGGGTTTAGGGGGTTTAGGGGTTTAGGGGGGGTTTAGGGGCTTAGGGTTTAGTGGTTTAGGGGTTTAGGGGTTTGGGTTTAGGGTTTAGGGTTTAGGGTTTAGGGGAGGGTACAGGGCTTTGGGGTTTATGGGTTTAGGGGTTTAGGGTCAAGGGATTTGGGGTCTAAGGGTCGAAGGGTCCAAGTCTAGGATTAAGGCTTCCCTAAACCCTGAGAGCCCAAACCCAAAAAGTCCTAAACCCTAAAGCCCTAGAGCCTAACCCTAAAAAACCCAAAACCCCCAAAAAGCCCTTAGCCCTAAACCCTAAAACCCTAAAGCCCTACCCTAAAAACTAGCGGAAACCCGGAGTCCCTATATGATGCTCCAAGCCCGATCTGAAACCTGCCTGTGACCCTGTCAACACTGCACTTCCCACAAGCCGGAAAAATTAAGAGTTTGGGGTTTAGGGTTTTAGGGTTTCGGCAGTTTAGGGTTTTAGGGTTTAGGGTTTTAGGGTTTAGGGTTTAGGGGTTTTAGTTTTAGGGTTTGAGGGCTTAGGGTTTATCTTGGATTGAGTTCAGTACTTACAGCACTTTTGTGCTCCACCCTGCCTCCGCCCTCCCGCCGGCCCACCCACACACACACCAAGCCAGGGCGGAGCACAGAAGTGCTGTATGTTACAGTGCCTCCCCCGTGCCGCCCCCGCCACCCCACCCCACATGCCACACCAAACCCACACCTCTACACCCCACACCCCACACCCCACACCATGCAAAAGGGAGCGACAGGGAAGGGAAGGGAGGGAGGGGGAGAGGGAGGGGGTTGGATGCGTTGGGGTGTGGGTGTGGTGGGTGTGCGGGGGCTGTTGCGCTAGTTCTGTTGAGCAACAAAGCCAACCCAGGAGCGCCTTTTGCTAGGCTTGCCAGTCCAGTTTTCCCCAAAACAAGGGCCGAGTCTCAGGGCGTAATTAAAAGGGCCTTAGAAATACAGCCTCATAAAACCTCCGCAAAGGCCTGTTGCACCTCTGTAATACCCTAGGAAGCCGTAATATCTCCCCGAGTCTAGGACATCTATATACCTTATAGAAGCCTTATAGAAGCCCTATATACCCTGAACTCCCCACCTGTAGTTTCCTTTAACCGAGGTTGAGGAGCAAGAAGGTGCGACGGCACAAGCACGACTTCCGTTTGACAGCAGCTCGGCCCGAGCATTCTGCAAGAGTCAAGGGCTTATGACTAGAGTCAGGGCCTGAATCTGGTTGGGGTTTTGGAGCCCATTAGACTACAATTACAAAAAGGAAACCCCCTCAAAAATAGTATGGGTAATTATTTAGGCCCCTACATTATCTTGATCTCTTGGACTATGTGGGGTAGGGTTCACATGATGGCTTTTGGCGGAATGTACAGAGCGCATCTTAAACACTGGAGCGGGTGGGTGTATATTCACCTCTCCTTCGGGGATGCTAGCAATACAGGGGTTTGGGGTTTAGGGTTTAGGGTCGGGTTGGCCTTACAGTAGGGTTTTCGGTGAGGCCCCATGACAGTCCCTTCTGTTCGGTTGAGGGTTGAGGGTTTAGGAGGTTTAGGGTTGGTAGTAGTCTAGAGGCCTTCAGGAACTGTATGCTACTTGGTGCTCTGCAGGTTTCCACATGGGTTCTGCAGGCTTTTTCTCTATAGTCTGCTGCTTTCCCTTTGACACACTATGCTGCATGCTGCCCGAGGCGTCTGCGAAAGGGTGTGTTCAGTGTGGTGACCATGCATGATTTTCTACGGGATGATGCACTTCGGCATTGCCACGCTGGCAGAAGTGGGCAATCTAGAAGCCGTGCCCCCGCTTCGTTCATCAGTGGGAACGAAGCGGGGTGGGGTACCGCTGAGAAGTAGGGTTACACGTCTCAAGTTTCTGAGATGTCAGGATTCTGTGACAGGTGTGGTGGCTCAAGCTTTGCAAACTTCGGGTGTGCGAGCTCAGCGATAAACCATAACGGGGCAAAAATGCGTATCGGACCGTAAGGGGCCATGGGACAAGGCCTTAAGCAGTCCTAAGCAGTCACAAGATGCTGGAACTGACGACTCCCGGTACGGTGCCACGGGAGGCCTAAGTACCTCGTCTGGGGTTTGGGGCTTCCTTCTCTACTATGCAATGCTGTATGAAGCAGCAATGTTACTGCATATTCAGGCTCCTGGGTACTTATCCGACAGGGTATGTTTCGATTTGATCGGCTCCCTGTCAGGTGCCCAATTTCAGTAGGAGTTTACCATAAGAATGATACCCAGCCCCAACATAGACCCCAGCACAGAAAGGCCTTCACGTACGAAAGCGGCCGGACTAATTAGTGAGAATATCACTCACCGAACCCTATATGGGAGTTTCCGAACATTAGGGGTACCTTATTTCGGGGTCCTTATATTAAGGATGCTATTATTTAGGGGTGCTATATTAGGGTCCCCTATTTTCAGAACCCCCCCATATTCTTATGTTGCAACCTACCCCGACAAGATGAAGGTCCCTAAACCCTACACCGGTTTAGGGTTTAGGGTTTAGGGTTTAGGGTTTAGGGTTTAGGGTTTAGGGTGTCAGCTATCCTGTAAGCACAGACGAAAGATGAGGTCAATGCGGATTACCAGTCCAGCTTCGAGATATGCCAGGCAGGAGGGTTCAGGTGCAGGATTTAGGTTCTCGTGGATTTTAAGGTTCTGAGTTTGGGTTTAGGGTTTAGGGGTTTAGGGTTTCTGCGTTTGGGGCTTGGGATTAAGATTCAGGTCGAGCTGCGTCTAGCTGCTGCATGGAAGCTCTGGTATCCTCTTGCTTGCTTGCTGCTTGCTTGCGTGTGTACGGCTTGGCTTGCTCACGTTTACCGCAAACTCTTTCTCGGAACTCGAAGCCCAAATCCCTAAATCTAAGAGGCTATTGCACCTGAAAAAAAATCTCGAAACTGCGGCAAGTGTGGTATTAGATTCAGGCCGGCGCGGACCAACCGGGCAAGTAGTAGACACACAGAGCGAGAGACAGCCATTCAACGGAAATAGGCCCGCTGCATGCTACAATGCTTGTTTTTGATTCTCAATTGGGGGTTTCTGAAAATAGGGGACCCTAATAGTACCCTAAATAATAGGATCCTTATTATAAGGACCTTAAAATAAGGTAACCCCTGTTTTCGGAAACTCCCAATTCGGAATCAGGCGATTCACATGGAGCTGCATGGAAGAGTCTCGGCACAAAGCTACTTCAAGTCAGAAGTCAGAGTATCGGTGACTTCAATGGTCGGTCGTCGTCGTAGTAGCAGCAGCAGTGGCAGCAGTGGC